AAATTTTCATTTTTTGTTTTTTTGGATTTATTTTTATTTTGTGGTAAAGTTATCGAGAGTGTTATTTTAATGCCCATGCCTGAAATATTTTCATACATTTTTTAATTTATTTCTAGAAGTAGATTTTTAATGCTCCTCTTCTTTTAAATGGTTAAAATTACAGATTCTGGATCTATTTGAAATTAATCCTTCAATAAAAATATTTTACTATCTATTTCACATCTGCTAATTTTCTTGAAAATGAACTGAATTTTAGCTTTAATGAAAAAACCCTGAAATTTGTTTCCAAATTAGAATTATCGTCATTACATTGTATTCAATATAATTAAAAAGGACCCAGATCTTTAGAATTTTATATTATGAGTATGCAATATTTGCATTCCGACTAATTTAATCACAATTGGCTATACTTTTTGATCAGCTTCAATAGCCGAGATGATTTTAATTTGGTTTAAATTTATCTTCTTTGTGTTACAGCTTTTTTAGGAATGATTGATAAAAATTGCAAAATGTAAGGGTATAAAAACTTTGGCCTCCCGAAGATAGTTTGTTTGTTGTTTAAAATACCGATGGCAGACGAGTGCCACTACCATAAATTAACAAAAATAATAAAAAAAATTTTAATCTGAACAAAATTTAAGGCTTTAATGATGTAACATGTAAAGCTTATAATAAACTTTTTAATTTTAATCTTAAATATTTTTTTCACTGAGCTGCAAACTTCTGGCTGAAATTATAACAAAAAAATCGACCAGGTAATTTTTAGATCAGATCTTAATCCGAGCTAGAAACGTCGGACTTCCTTGATCTTTTTGATCCATATATAGATAGATCCGAATACTTTACTGTACTTGTGACCAATATTAGAAATATTCTCGGAATGGTATGATTACTAAAAATCGCTGGACAAAAATCAATCTCATAAGCAGATGTCATACTTTCTTCTATTTACAGTCGATAGATATAATTAGCCAAAAATAAAAGGTCTTAATAAAACAAGAAAATGTTACACAATGAAAGTATAACTGAGATTAACAAAATGGTAATATTGTAACTAAATAAAAAGCTTTAAAACATAAGATAGCATAATATATATATTTTGATAAAAGGAAAAATAAAGGAAATGTACTTGTAAACAATTGTATTACCGAGTAACTGATACAACTAAACGGCAACACGAAGATAAACATTTAAACGACGCTTGCAATAATATTTACATAAAAAAACACATAATTGTATTTCTTACATATAAACTAAATGCAATCATGCTATGAAATGGAATCTAGAATAATATCACATAATTTTATAAGCCCCATTATACCACATGAATAAAAACAAATATAAAAGCTTATTTAAAACATTTATTAAAATTGTTGTTTAAATAGTCAAGTAATGGGGTTCTGTTTGCAAATGTAGATAGAAAGGCAGTAAACTTAAACAGACTGCAAAAAGGCCTCCTGTTTTCATTAGGAATATTTATTAGATTAACCATTACCTTTTTGAAAAACTCCAGAAAATATATGCAAAACCTTTAAGGATTCTAAAGTCTCATTAGAACTTAATTACTAAAGAAATTTAAAACAAATTGTAAATGGGTGCTTTCAGTTTAAGAGCACAACGATTCTTAGCCCATCTCACCTGAAGGAAAGCCCTTAACTTGTCATTCCTGTTGGGCCAAACCTCCTCCATCCACTTCAGCATGTCTTCGTTGTCATCCATTGTTATCCTGTTGACACGAACGTGCAAAAGGGCGTCTATGTAAACGCTTCCTTTTAGGAATCTCCTATTGATTGTTTCCCTTATCTCAAATGATTCAGGAAGATATACTTATTCCCATGGACGAATTATGTATAAGACTGATCATATTTTTAGCAATCATTAGGGCTCTTAATTTGCCTGAGCTTACGTTTCCATTGTTGCACGTGTCCCGTCAGTTGGGCTAAGCCAAATTTTTATAATAATAAAAATGTAGCAGCGAATCGCCCATCCGCTTTGCGGTTAAGACCGACGGAACTTCCTCATCCTCGGGCAATTACAACATTTTGTGTCAGTTGGCTGGCAAATCCTTTTGTATTGTCGACAACGTCCCTTGTTTTTTTGTTAGCATAATTCCCTGAAATCAAAGCTGAAGTGTGCCACCGATCAGGTTGCACAAGGCTTAGGGTCGTGCATGGTCTCGGAATGGGGGCATCGGTTCGCGTTGTAAGTATCTCCTTAGATCCTTTTCCGCCTTTAAGTTTGATTCTCGGTAAATTAACTTTTAAAGCAAGCAAAACGAACTTGTACCTTCTTACGGGTCCTTTGTTTATGGAACAAAGTTCAAAGGGGAAGCTCAAGTAGTTACATCCTTGGGGAGGATCACCAGCAACAAAAGGTTTTTTAAGAGGGTACTAGTTACTTGACGATTTTCATTTTAACAGAATTTGTAATGTTGATATTTGTGGAGACAATGAATAGAGATTTCAGAGAACCTAGAGTAATCAAACTGACGGAATGGAAACAAACTGACACACTTTCATTGTAACTGAGAGCGTTTACTTATAAAAAACTTAGGAAAAGGGAAAATAAAAAATTCAGGAAAATACCTTTTTCGTTCTATAAAATATTTTCTTTCCAATTCCAAACAGACCCAATAAAAAATGATATCTTTATGTCTTTAAAAGCGATGCCTTCCCAACACGTTCTTTCCTAAGATTATTTATTATTATTTCTAAATTCCTAAAATACTTTATATATAAATATATATTATTAAGAAAACATCTGAAACGAGTTCGAAATCAGATTAATCTCGAAACAATCTAATTATGCCTTACTTATAATGCTCTTTACCCAGCCATAATCATATAGCCAGTCAAAAAGTGGCAGTTTGGCTGCATTTAAATGGGAAATACGTTCGGAAATTGTCGGTTGACGCCCTCCTAGAGTGCCTTATCCGGAAATCTGGTCTCGAAACAATCCCTCATTATGTACTGTTTAGCAGGGCAGTGAAATTTACGACAATTACGCGAGATAAATTAAATTAAATAGCACACTACATGACTGTAGAATTCAACAAATGTATCAAAATATCAGCGGTGCTTCTGAACCACTTCCTCCGCACCCACGGCTGCCTGAAATCGAAAAATGCCAGCAAATTACAAACTGCCCCTCGACAAATCATCGTGTGTTCGATGTAATTTAATATGTGGCACGCGTTCGTAGAACTTTTGCCTTTGCTGTTTTGCACTCTCCTAGCTCTGATTTTTCCCTCCTCACGTATTTCCCATTTTTTTTTTCCTTTCGAATTTCGGTTTGGTGGCTGGGAAAAGGACCTGAAGGACTCTGGTGCCTTCGCCTGTCGGGTTCATCTGCAATTGTTGCCAATGAGAGTAATTGTGTGCCGCAAGGGGTGAAGAAATTCTGCTCAAATGGAGGGAGGTGTCTGCATAATTGCATTTGTTAGTGCTCTAATTGTTAGGGCGGCCGAAGGGCCGGGTGAATAGGTTACTCCGACTAGGATCACAACAAGAGACTCTTAATAAGAAACCGACCGCTCCAATGTCTAAACAGCCACTGGACTCGGCTGGGAAAACGAATAAACTAAAGGGATTATTATAGTGGGTGTTTTCATTGTTTAAGCTTAGCGTTTATAATATGTACTTTTCCTTTTTTAAGAGTGTGCTATTTTAAAAACAATAACAAACAAGTGAGTAGTAGTTTTTTAAACCAAAACAAAATTTAAAAACCTGTAAAAATGTCTGCACATACTTTAGTACAAAGGTATAAGGTAGCTTAACCTAAAAACCCAAGATTTAAGTTTAGCTGGGGCATAATATATTACTTTTCGAGCCAGATCTGACTGTTTTTTATATATATATGATTAAATAATTAGACTACAAAATTATAGCTTTGTTGCTTTCTACTTTTCAGTATATGTTTCGTTTTAAAAAGCATAAGGAGGACCTTCGGATATACATAGATCCTGGGCATGAAGCCCGTTTATGTAGTTTTTTATTGATATATTGACAGTTTGTGTTTAACTAATTTTTATTAACATTATTCTTAAAAAAATTGTATTCCTTTTTTCTTTCAATAGAAGTTGCATGACCTCTTTCACTTCGGCTCTAACAAGCAAATGTATAATTTGACCGTGTCTAAGAGGAAGAGAAGTCATCTATTGAGTTGGCCCCATGAAAAAGCTTGTTATGTTTATTCTAAAATAATTGAGAACACGTGCCCTATCAGCGTCAATCAAGGCAAACAGAGAGTCAGTCAGAGGGCAAGGTGGAGTGGCGAGGAGGCTTTCCTTTCTATAGCAAAACGTTTTCGCACTTATGCACATCATTTAGTGCATTCAACGCTGGGAACCCGCATAAAAGGCACTGCAGTGTGTCCCTTGGTGGTGGCTCGGCGTCTGCGTTAAGTAGCAGGCTAACAACAACAACAACAACGGATTTTGCGATAAGAAATCTTATATCGCTACCCTTCAGCGGGCGCACTTCTGACCCGCTGCGCGTTTCCATGCCAATTTAATCAAATTAATATTCTCACGTGCTCTTTTCTGCTGTCGCACAGCAGGTCCTAAGATAAGGTCAAAGGACAAAACACCCAGCTAATAAAATGATGGACATATGCGCTAGCTGTAGGTGGTCCACGCCTTCTCTCTGTGATGATTTTTATTAGCTAACAATTGAAGGGAAATTCGGAAGGAGGTGTGCCTGAGTCAGTTAGGCCAGGAAAGACTTATATTAATAATTACGCAAGCTTACAAGTATGGGTTATTTACCTATATTGTAAATTCTCTGATGTTGAAAACGAAATTTGCATTAACTAAAATTTGGAGAGCTTTCAGCAAAACGAAGATTAAGGTTTTGATGCAGGTAATTTTAATGTCATAGATCACAAAATAGCTCTTATCAATCCCGACGGAAGCCGGATGTGGCTTTGAAAATCATTGAATAACTTTGGTTGTCAGTTCACTAGAGACTTCAAGTGGTTGTACATGCACTCTTAGTATCAGTATGTCCGAGTTCGAAACTAATCTTCTGTGCTTATTGGCCGCGTGGAGTTTGTGGAATGGATGCGTGGCGGAGGACCAGCATTCGGGCTACGTATGCCTTATCGATGATCCCAAGCCAAATCAGTATGATAACTTTTGCATTGCTGCCCTGCAACCGTTGCTCGACCAAATTACAAGACGCCTGGATAAAGGCAACACGCAGGTGGACATTTTGGTGGGTCAGCAGGCCAAGCTTGAATCACAACTTGAGAAGGTGCTGGAGGTACAGAAAATAATAAACAACCAACTGCAGGCTGTACTGGAAGCCCAACAAGCAGCTTTAGTGGAGACCCGTAACATGATGAAGTTTAAGGTTCCATCAAATTTCGAGCAGATCGGTTCGAGATACTTCCTTATCGTTGAACGTCGCCAGGATTGGAGTAGTGCTGAGATCGTCTGTCTTCGCATGGGAGGATATCTGGCCTCAATTCAAAGCCTTGAAGAACTCACCGCAATCAATGCGAAACTCAAAGGAAGCTCAGCCTACTGGCTGGGCATTAACGATCAGCTCAAGGAGGGCCACTATATATCCGTGGCCTCAAACAAAACGGCAGAATTTTTAGACTGGAGCCCAAGTCTGTCAGGAGACGAACAGCACACGCAAAACTGCGTTTACTTGCTTGAAGGATTTATGAGCTATTTTCATTGTGATTTTCCTGCCTATTTTATTTGCCAGGCAGACAAAGAAATTTAATTAAATTCGTTATGAAAGGCTTAAGTCATTATTTAAGCATTATTTATTATAAAAGAACTAGTAGGTTTTCTCAGACCTCATTTGGATTATATAAAAACTCATTAGCTACTAAAATATCGATTTATTTTTATAATATATCTTTTGAATACCCTTTCCAAGTAATTTAAATGTATTCTAACATGTTAGAGCATTCGATTACTTTTAGTTTTTGGCATTTACCATACTTACTGTTTAGAGGATCTCGTTTCTTCACCCATTTAATGCTAATTGGGGTTTCAAATAATTTAATTGATTGATGTCCTTACAAAATCAGAGACATTTTCCACTCCAGGGACATCACGCTTCGCTCGCTTTACCCGTGATCTTTTGAACACCACCCTAAAGCGCCCGCTTTAGGGCTTTAACCTAATAATGATGTTCGACTTACTTTGCGTGACTTATTTTATTAATAAAACGAGCAAATTTGTCTTGCTTTTTGGTCGCATCATCAGCATCCTGTTTCTTTCTCTCCCTGCCTCTGCCGCCTCGGCGCTGTCTTGCTGCCCACAGAGAGAGTGGGGAGACCACTCTTGAGACCTTGCCAAGAGAAGGACGAACATACTGCGAAAGCAACCCCTTTCCGAGGTGACCGCTGATTGGCTGACAGTAAAACAGGACTTACGCCCCCTTTCTGGGTGTAGGTGGGACGAAATGGTTCGCATTGTGGGTGGTGTACGGCTATGTTGGGGCTTTGATTTCATTAAATCAAGCACATTTCTGGCGCAACACCGAGGGAAACATGTGTCAATACTGAGGGAGCAATATGTATTAAAGCAGAGGCGACCCCACCACCTGGGTAGGAACAGTTGCGTCGGCTCCTCTCTGAGCCCACGGAAACGATTGTTTAATTCAATTATAATAATTGTGGCATTTAATGAATTCAATACGTTGCGACATCAACCAGCCGACAACAATGGCGGCCCTGACACGTTAATTACCAGAAACGGTAGTTGGATGGCGGCGGCAACAGCGGCAGCGATGGGTGGTGGGTGGGCTTAATAGTCAGTCGGACAAAATGGCGGCAGAGCAGCGACGTCGACGCGTTGTTGTGCAAATTATTTGCGGTTATCATGGGTCAATTAAACAACGTTTTTGCCGCATAAGGACCAAAGGACCTAGCTAATCGTGCGAAGAGCGGATGCCTGAAGAGACGGAAAAATGGGAGCTAAAATCGAGCGAGCGGGACAACTAGATGCGCATGCAAATAATGGGGGGTGTTTTCAAAAGGATATCCCCGGAAATTCGGTGGATTCCCCCCATTGGTATCTTCACTAAGCGGGCACCGCAAACAACCAGCTGCATTGGATTGAGGGGGGGCAGCAAGCCCATCTGAGTTGCAGGGGATGTGCCGGGATGCAGGGTTGCTGGACAAGGACTCACCCAGTCGCCCTCTCGCTCGCACGCGCCTCCTGCAGCTCGCCCGCTCGCACATGGATGCTGGCAGCTCGTTTAGAGCAATTTGCTGGTTGATGTGCGGTGATTGCCGCAAAGTCAACGCGACCGTCAACGAGCAAACAACATAAGCGCGTAGCCCAAGGACATACGAGACACGGCATACCCTCGCTCCGCTCTCCGCACCCACATCCGTATCCGTATCCGCATCCGCTTCTGCATCCAGTCCCTCCGACATGGCAATGCTTAATGAGGCCAGCTTGAGTCCCGTGGATGCACATGCAACCACACCTACGCACAGCAAGGTTGCGGTGTCCGGTGGCACCACAATGCTGACCACAAAAACGCCGTTCTCCATCGAGCATATATTGTTTCAAAATTTAAATAGTGCCAATAATAACAGTAGTAATAGCCATAATTATGGTCACAGTCAGAAAATCAGCAGAAATGCAGTGAAAAATGCCAGGAGCGGCAGCTTTGTCCAGGACATAAATCCACATAAACATCCGTCGCAACACTTGCACCCAACGCCTTCGCATCCGTCGGCATCTTCTACCGCGGCAACTGCACCGCGCGGCGAGCAGGGAGCATCGGGATATGGAAGTGAGAATTACGCCAAGTCCTTGCACAGCACTCAACGGTTCGTTTGAAAAATAAAAGTTTATAATACCTTTAGTGTAAATATGTGAACTACTAACAAATTAATTACAAATAAAATATTAAAAATAAACTTTAAGGTTAAAAATTGATAACAGTTGTAGATTCGTTGCTTAACGATATTACCTAGAAGCTATATAAAATTTTGCATCGGTTTGACTTCCCTAAACTACATATATTTCGACTTCGGATAGTTGTAATTAGATCTTAATCACAATATTTCTCGTTTTACTAAATATCCAACATTATTAGTTATCTTAAAACTGGATTTTATACATAAATTCTTAAGAATACAGCAAAAACCATAATATAAAAATTGTTCTCTATCACACTCAAGGAAGTCGTAAATTTCTAATTCGAAACTAAAAAGTTCTTATTTGAAAACAATTTAAAAAGTCACCGTTTTAAATATGTCACTTTTTAAACATTACAAGACCGTTAACCTTGTGTTTAAATGTTGGCCACCATTCACGTTCGAATGCTTTTTATTATAGTGCTGATCAAACGGCGCATCCATTGGGATCTACGGCAGGACATCCGCCACCGCCACCGGTGCCAACATCGCAGCCACCGCCTCCTCCTCCACCAAATGGAGGGACTGGAGCACCAAATGGAGTGCTATATCCCAATGCGCCATACACGGATCATGGATTCCTTCAAATGACCCTCGGATATCTATCTCCATCATCGGGCACCTACAAGTCAGTGGATCCATATTTTCTCTCCCAAGGCAAGTGCCATTTTTAAGAATTTAAACAATTTTAAGAATCGGTATGATCAGTGTTGTCAATAATCCTTAAAACTGAAGTTGCCTTTCAACAAAATAAGAATTATTTCTAAGAAATGCGTTACTTAAATGGTAACGCCATTTGAGGTATAAGTGTTAATCGGAATTTGAGCAATAGTTACTAAATACTATATAAAATATAGGTTGTGGGCAGATTGTGTTTTATTTTAATAAAATTTTTACCAGTGGAATAAGAATAAGTAAAAAGTTATTAAGCTATTACATTAAACAGGTATTAGAAAGGACCATTATTTTCATGTTGCGTTTGTATACATTTCAAGGAGACTTCATAGTATCACGAACCGGTGTAAATGGACATTAACACTGAAAGTTTTCATTTTTGAAAACTATAACTAAGTTAACAAAATTTCGACATTCAACCTTGCAGCCAGCCTTTTTGGGGGAGCACCCTTCTTTGGAGCACCCGGCTGCGTGCCCGAGCTGGCTCTTGGCTTGGGTATGGGTGTGAATGCACTTCGTCACTGCCGTCGGAGGAAAGCGCGCACAGTGTTCAGCGATCCGCAATTGTCCGGCCTGGAAAAGCGTTTCGAGGCCCAACGTTACCTGTCCACGCCAGAGCGTGTGGAATTGGCCACGGCGCTGGGACTGAGCGAGACGCAGGTGAAAACCTGGTTTCAAAACCGGCGGATGAAGCATAAGAAACAGTTGCGTCGGCGTGATAATACAAACGGTAAGTGTTCTCAAATTAAAGTACAAAAAATTATTAAAAAAACAAAATGTATTGGAGTTCTTATTAAGAAACCTGAAATATAAATGAGACTTTGCTAAAAAGAAAAGTTATAAATATTACCAAAAGACTTTCAAAAATGTAGAAAAAGCTGTCTGTGGTTTAAAATTGGTTTCATGTTCAAAGCTACAAAATCAGAGTGCTGGCTAGCTTCTTTAAGAAAACTTTTCGTCTTTCAATTAACCCCTTTTGGCTTTTAGCTGGTGCTTTGAGTTGCCGAAAGTTTTCTTCAAGTTTTCTCCTCAAATCAAATTAGTTCTAAAATCTGTGCAATTTTCTTTGACTTTTCCATTCCGCAGAGCCCGTTGACTTCTCACGCACCGAGCTGGGCAAACAGCCAGGAGGCGAAGCCTCCTCCTCCTCGGTGGACTCCAAGCACGCCAAGCTGAACTCTAGTTCCGGCGGCACGCCCACTCAGCATACAAACGAACATCAGCAATTGCAAATGTGTCTCATGCAGCAGGGTTACTCCACGGATGATTATTCAGATCTCGAGGCGGACACCGAGGACGATGAGGACAACTGCAGTGACGTGGACATAGTTGGGGACTCGAAACTCTACCAGTTAACATAGGCGGTTTGATCTAAGTTTAAAATTAAAACTTAATTTTGGCGAGATACCAAGTTTTAAAAATTTATAGTTTTCCACTTTTTGCGTTTTTATTTCAAGCCTAGAATTATTACTGTAAGCCTGGACAATATTAGGTGTTAATAGTTTACAATTTGTGCACTTTTTCCGTACCTTTAAAAGCTGCCATTGCATAATCAATATGCGTATCTAAAAATTAAAGTCATCTGATTGTATTTCCCCCCAGAGATAAAATAAAAACAAAAGCCTTGTAAATATTAAATAATTTTTGAATGAGCTGCATTCTAGTCGTGTATTAACCATACATCTAATCAAACTTAGTGATTGTATTCTAGAGTACAATAAAGGAACAAAACAGAATAATATGAAGTGTATTGTTTTACCTGGTTACTGGGGTGAGCAAGTATTCTTCCCTAATTTAGAGTCTTTTGGCAATCAAATCCAATTGACAAAATAAAGTAGTATCTAATATCGTAAGCACAAAGCGTTTGATTATGGGGTTGACTGTATGGTATAAATTGGGGTTGAATGAACCCACTTAACAATGTTAAATTTTACCCAGACATTTTGTTTTGTAAGGGTGAGTATATGTGGGTGTATGTTAAATAGTCCTAATTGTTTCTTAATTATGGTTTAAAAAGAATTCCCAAAAAGCTAAAGTTAGTTTTAAAAATTCAGGTTATTCAACTTTAAAAATTGTTGGGCCTCTGGCCACAGGATCATTGTAATGGTAGAAATTCATACATTTAAAATGACTGGCAGGAAATATATTCTGGGTATCAGCATTTTAAGACTAAAGTCCATGCCACATAGATGAAATAATCGCTTAAATCAGCTTGAGCATTTTTAAAAACATACATGATTAAATTTTGTATTATAAATATGTAATCATTCATTCAAAATACAACTTTTTTAAGGCTACATATATATATATATATTTTTAGGTTCTAATTGGTACGTCTAGTCAAACGAAATTTAACAACAAATCCAGAGATAGAAGTAAAAAAATAATCTAATCAAAGGTCGCAGCAATGACAAGATTTAAAATATACTTCTATATACATTTATAGCCACATATTCGTAGGTCTGTTTATATGTACTTATAGCTATAGCTTATCATTATTGATAAGTTAAATCTAAAGAGACGAGCCTCCCCATCGATCGGTAGAAGTTGTAAATAAAAGTCATACAAGCCACTTCATAATGGAATGGAATATACTAACTGGGGTCCTTAGTTTTTATAAATATATATTTAGAACCAGTACAATTTTTATTATTTTGAAATATTTTGTATGTATATATATTATTTTATTATTATGTAAAAACCTATGCTCTTTTCTCTTTATATTCCAACTTCAAATTGTCTCTTCATCTTCAACTCTCTTCAAGTGGAACTCTCTCTTTTATATACTGGCGTTTGTATATGTTTTACGCGATATCAGTTCGTTACCAGCGGGAAAGTATAAAAAACAAAGTGAACCCAGTCGTACTCTAAATACCCTTTAAACCAGATCTAAAAGAAAACAACAATCAAAATAATAGAACAATTCAGAAGCATTACTTAAATTATCATTTTATTTGCTAAATACAAAAATAGAAACAATAAAAAATGTACATCGAGGTGACTTTTTCGAGGTCTCGCCAGTAGACTCTTATCGCAGTAGAGTGCGTGTCAAGCTCCTCCAAAAGTGAAAATGTATCTTCGTAGAGTATCCCCCAAGCAGTGACGTTTTCTGTGTAGCCGTGGACGTGGACTAAAGCCAACAAGCAGTCTAGTCTCTTTAGTACAGCCGACGCCTGCGGTTCGTTTTTCGTTAGTTGCCTGTCTTGTCTTCCCCGTGTTGTAAGTGAAAGTGCATTTCGTTCTCTTGAATTCTTCGAAGCTCCACAAGTGTCCCCAGGGGTCACGGCCATGTTGAGGACAAGTCTGAAAAACATTTCATTCCCTTTTGTACGGAAGAATAGTGCATATATACAGCATACACATGATTAGCTCTTAAAAATACAGAGCCTACATATATCTCATGGTATATGTATGTTCAGCTAATCGAGTCTTCTTGAGAGTCTTTCCAAAAATAAATAAGGGGGCACGTGTCAATATATGTATGTACATGTGTATGAATAAAAATCGCCCGGAAGAAATATTATTTTTTCCAGTTCGGTTTTATATAATTTCCTTGATACATTTGTACATATTTGTAGAACGAACCGGTTATCATCTACCAAAAATAAAACCAAAACAAGACACACAAAAAACACGTATACGCAGAATGACAAGTTTTGATAGTGACTTTCCATGAAACAAGCCCCTTAAAGCAAAGAGAGATAAGGCCTATGTTATAGTGACACTAGCGAACTTAAAAGGTCCTCTGACTTGACCTTCAATAGAAGGAACTTGAGCACTAAGTAATAATTGGTTATTGTTTCTATTTTGATGGATCCCCACAGGAACCGCATAATTTAGAGAGCATACTAGTGCCCAATAATGGCGGCCAGTAATGGTAATTGTAAGTGACCTTGCTTTCTACTCCTTGCCTGCCAGTTGTGTGAAACTTGCCCTCCGCTTTCCCAAAGTTGACTATTTCTACTCTGCACCTCCTGAATCCCCCGCAGCACTTCCCGAAATTGACTTTGCTAATTAATATTTGCAAACTAGTTACATGCTTTATTCAAGATTGAAGAGTAATGATCAATTATATGTTATTTTTTCTTTACACTTTTCAATACAAAATATAATATTTAATATTTGTGTATATATAAATCTAAGCTATATATGTATTTCCAAAGTTTTTGTATTTGTATCTAAAGATAGGAATTGTTAGAAGTAGTAACAATCGGATTTTTTATATCGCACGTAGTTCATATGTGTTTTCTATTGTAACTAACTTTTCAACGATAAAAACACACAATTTAAGCTTTATTGCTTTTGTATGCAAGAATGTAATATAGAAATTAACACGTCTGAAATATATGTTTAAAAATTTTTAACTTTGTAACAAGCATTTCACTCTTTAACTTTATTTTTTGTTTGCTGTATTTGATGTATGTAAGCTGAATAATAATGTTACTGCTTACATTTAATCCACCAAATCTAAAGTTCCCGAATAATTATGTTGTATTTTCATAGCCAAAATGAGTCAACAAGGACCTGCCTTCGACTCCAATGCGATGACGCTCACCCGCTTCGTGCTCCAGGAGCAGCGAAAATTCAAGAATGCCACCGGAGATTTGTCGCAGCTCCTTAACTGCATCCAAACGGCTATTAAGGCCACGGCCTCGGCGGTACGAAAGGCCGGAATTGCCAAGCTCCATGGCATAGCCGGTGACATTAACGTCCAGGGTGAGGAAGTGAAGAAGCTGGACGTTTTGTCTAATGAACTGTTCATCAATATGCTTAAGTCCTCATATACAACATGCCTGATGGTTTCCGAGGAGAATGAGAACGTGATTGAGGTGGAGGTAGATAAGCAGGTAAGAGTTTAATCATTTTAACAATTTAAAAATTTTTAATTTAAGCCTTTTTTCTTTTTTACTCTAATTTAATTTAAAATTGTTTTAAATATACCCGACTCTACATATATTGTTCTTTCCTTCTTAGGGTAAATACATTGTTTGCTTTGATCCGCTGGACGGATCCTCAAATATCGACTGCCTCGTGTCCATTGGTTCGATTTTCGCCATTTACCGCAAGAAGAACGACAATCCGCCCACAGTTGAGGATGCCCTGCAGCCAGGCAATCAATTGGTGGCCGCTGGATATGCACTTTACGGCTCTGCCACGGCCATTGTTCTGGGCCTTGGCTCGGGAGTTAACGGCTTCACCTATGATCCGGCCATCGGTGAGTTCATCCTGACCGATCCCAACATGCGGGTGCCAGAGAAGGGCAAGATCTACTCGATCAACGAGGGATACGCGAGTGACTGGGACGCGGGTGTCCTAAACTATATTGCGGCCAAGAAGGATCCCAGCAAGGGCAAGCCATACGGAGCCCGTTACGTCGGCTCCATGGTGGCCGATGTTCACCGCACCATCAAATACGGAGGCATCTTCATCTACCCAGCCACCAAGTCGGCTCCCAATGGCAAGCTGCGTCTCCTCTACGAATGCAACCCCATGGCCTATCTGATGATTCAGGCTGGTGGACTGGCCAGCGATGGCAAGATTAGCATTCTGGACATTGTTCCCAAGAAGATACACGAACGCAGTCCCATTTTCTTGGGATCCAAGTCTGACGTCGAGGAAGCTCTTAGTTATCTGAAGTAATTTTTATTATTAATGAATAAAGAAAAATTTTAAATTTAAACAAATTTTTCAAATTTTAAATTTAAAAAGGAAATAGTTGCAAATTAAATGCAAACTTTACAGAACGCTATATTTAGACCTATATTTTACGTCTCCCATATCAAGACAGGTTTGCAATTCAAATATTCTCCTTGAAATTATAAAATCAGAAGTTTGATAATTATAATTATCAAGTAGCCGCAATGGGGTTAAACATATACATAAACATATACCACAAAACCGCAAAAACATGAAATATTAGTAAAGAGATACAACATAATCTAAGGATTAGCAAGTGAAATGTTAAACTCTTTTTAACTTTAAAAGCAAAATTAAAACCTTTTTTATTCTAATGTAATGAACAATTTTAATTAACGCGCCATATTGTTTCCGATTTTGTTCAAGAAAAAAGTGTTGGTAAATGTAACAAAACCATGAATATCGAACTATCGACAGTAGAAAACGCATTTTGATGGTTCAGCTGTTTAAATTCCTGTTAAAATCCACAAAGGCGGTAGGAATGTGATTAAAAATCCAAATTAAAGTAATCCAATTGATTTCCGTCCTAGCCCGCCCGAGCCCACTTCCGACCCAGCTTCCTGGACACATTGCGGCTGGCCGTGCGAGGAGGACATGGGGGAAACGGGTTGCCCAAGTACGGAGGAGTCGGTGGTCAGGGTGGCTGCGTCTATTTGGTGGCCAAGGAGGGGCTTACGCTGCGCAAAGTGGCCCAGGGATTGCGGGACAAACGTGTGGCAGCGTCTAGCGGCGAGGACAGCAGCAAGGCAAGCATCTTCGGACGACGCGGAGTGGACCAGCGCATCGAGGTGCCGGTGGGCGTTCAGGTGTATGACGAGCGCCACAAACTGATCGCTGATCTCAACGAAAACGACTCAACCTGCATTGTGGCGGGCGGAGGAACTGGTGGTTGCACAGGAACTAACTTTTTGGGACGTCCCGGCGAGAGCCGCACTGTGAATTTGGACCTGAAGCTGATAGCGGATGTGGGACTCGTCGGGTTCCCCAATGCGGGGAAGAGCACGCTGCTCAAGGCCGTCTCAAATGCAAAGCCAAAGATTGCGGCTTATCCGTGTAAGTAATTCGTTTGCCAGCTCTCGAGTTTTCCGTAAAGTAAATATAATTTTCATTTTCAGTCACCACCATCCGGCCACAGATTGGTACCGTGGAGTACAGCGACTTGCGCTCCATCACCGTGGCAGATCTTCCTGGTCTCATCGAGGGGGCCCACGCCAACTTCGGCATGGGCCACAAGTTCCTCAAGCACATCGAACGCACCCGCCTACTCCTCTTCATGGTGGACATCTTCGGCTTCCAACTGAGTCCCCGACACCCGCATCGCGATTGCCTGGCCAACATTTACGCCCTGAACAAAGAGTTGGAGCTGTACGACCCAACCCTGTTGGAAAAGCCCAGCGTGCTGTTGCTAAATAAAATGGACAAGGAAGGCGCCAGCGAGATCTTCACCAGACTAAAGCCGGTCATTAGCGACTTGGCTAGCGGACTGTCGCAATGCCCCGAGGAACTGCGTCCGAGGCAAGTACTTAAGTTCGAGAGCGTAGTGCCCATTTCGGCAATGAACTCTACGAAGGTGACACAAGTAAAGTCGCAGCTACGGCGGACGCTTTTACGACTGGCGGAGAAGCAGTTCCTGGCAGATGAGGAGCAAGTTAAAGAGCAGCTGCAGCAGCGCGTGGGTCTGGTTGGGCCGAAGATTACTTAGTTGGTATGTAGATGTGAATTGGTATAAATATTTTAATTATTCAGTTGCCGATATCTTTGTTATTTATACTATAAGAGCACAAAGGTTCACTATATTCTGTGTAAATAAATAGCCTTATACTTTAATGAGTGTAAATACTATTTATACTTGAGTTGTAGTTTGTCTAGCAAGTGGTCAATTGCTTCCTCATCAAGTTCATCGTCGTTTGGAATGATAAAGTCAAACCCGTCGAAATCATCCAGATCACACTCTGAGGACACATCGTCAATGCCCGCAGAAAATGTCCAACCACGCGCAGAACGTGTTTCTGGGCGGGAAGTGAGGCGGATCGTCAGAACCTTGTCTTTGCTGAATGTTTCGCAAAACCACTTGATATCGTTTTTGCGTCTCACATCGCTGACCAACACATAGGGTATCGCCTGGTGGTCGATTGCATCTTTCATGGCCAGTCTGCAGAAATAGCCGTAATCCTTGGCGCGCACCTCATCACTCCATTCTATCATGTCACGGCGGAACTTTTCCTTATAAGGTCCATCGGTAAGTAATTCACTGAGGTTCAGGTTATGCTTCCGGGCCCACTCGGACTTAATGGGTTCTGAGATTCGAACGATACGGGATCGGCCATCCAATCTATAAAATATAGTACATTTCAACAAGTTTCTAAATTGATGTTTACTTGTTAACATTTTTGGCTTAGTTATAGACTTTGTAAGTTTTGTTTATTTTGAAAAATTATATAAAATAATAATTCCTCAGGGATTTCTACAGGACTTTGTGTTTATCTTACCGCTTTTGCAATCTCTCGGATAAGTAATCCTTTCCACATTTCCGCTTGCCACTGATCAACACAATTTTCAACATTTCTCTGTTTGGGAAACTTTCACTTTTTGTCAAGCGTGCGGTTTCATTTACAAAAGTCTCTGCCCCTTAGATGTGTCTCCAATACAGCGTGACGGATTTCTTAAAGGGGTTCTGCGCCCAGACGACCTAAGCTAAGCCTCTGACATCGATGTCGTGTTTATTGTGTTGGTGCAAATGTTTTATAGAAATTAAACATTCAGTATTGTTATTCAGATTGTTTACCTTTTGTATTTCACTGTAAATGTGACCAAGACTTGACTGAAGAAATATACCAAAATACACTGTAATTATTTAAATATTAAGTGCGGTTAAAAAAGAATTGAAACAAATTGGATTAAAGTTGTATAGTGAGGTTTACAAAGCATTTAATAATTTGGTTTTCATGAAATGTGTAGTTAGAAAACTATCTGAAAAGTTTCATTCAAATAGCTTCAAAGGTGAGATGGCTAGATCGTCTCGGTATATGGCCGGAAATGTAGTAAAATTACAATGAAAGGGTGCTAATTTTAATAAGCAGTAAAGACAGCCGAGCTGTATTCACTGAATTCAGAGACAGGTATATCTTCAATCACTATTCATATTATATTTAAAGTAAAAGTTGTTTACTACTTATGTTGGGCATCTTATATCCCCATTAAATACATTTTATTTTCCTCTTAAAGTACATGTACATATGTAATTTACTTAACTAAAAGCCGTGCCTGCGTTAAAATCTCCTGCCCCTGGACTTGGGTCGTAAATCTGTCCCTCATCTGTAGTATTGCGATTTCTGCCAGTTTCCACCTAAGCCGCCCACTGCCATCTCAGCAGAGCCACCACCTTGGACCGCACTTGATCCGCCAGCGCCAGGAACGATATTGTTTGAACTTGCAGCAGCTGGCTGACCCCCCGAACCACTCCCAAATGAGGCAAGAACGCTGCTGTAGTACGAGGCATCCGCCACAGACTCGGATTGGTGGGGCGGACCCTTCTTTAGGCTCTGGTGTAACGAGGCCTTTCCCTGATGGCAGTCAACGGCGTTGGCATTGTTGATCCTTGCCAGATTCGCCAGAGTTAGCGTAGAGTGCCCATGGATGGCATTTGGGGCGGCGACGGATCCTGGCGGTGGTATAGTACCGATGCCTCCGAGGACGGGGAGTGGGCGTAACAGGGGGCGGGAAACGGAGGCTGATGTGGGGACAGACGACTCGGAGAGCTGCAAGGGCAAGCGATTTTATAGACAGGACAGCTTAGTTTAGGAGCCATAGCTACCACTCGCCTTGCGCTGCTTGTGCAACTCCAGGCCCACGCCGCCCAGATCCGTCAGCTTGGGTTCCGCCATGGGAGCCCCCAGCTGGGGCAGCGGCTGAAGCGATAGCTGAGGCGCTACATGCCTGTGATTAATATGTGCCTGCAGGTCCCGTTGCGACAAGTACGTCCGTCGGCAACCGGAGCTGCCGTAGCGACTGCCACCATGCGTGCACATAAACACGGTGCCCAGGCCACTTTGTTCCACGCGCAGCACCTTGTCGGTGCACCGGGGACAGTTTTTTATGGGATCGGCGCGGGCGCACTTAAGGCAGAAGACATGCTTGCAGGGTATCATCCGGCCGTAGACGAGGATCGGCTTGTCGCACTGATCGCAGCAGTGGATCATCGGATTGAGCACCTTTTCGCCGATCAGGCTCACCTTGTGGTTCCACTTTAAGCGCAGCATTGGCTCTGGTGGCCCACGCGACAATGTGGTGAAGGTGGGCGCTTCCAGCTGCGATATGTCTGCTTCCATGTCAACTGGAAATCAAAAAAGAGGGACGGTTTTAGCTTATGATGACCCTGTTTCTGGCTTGGTTAAGCCTTCTTACTTGTCTTGCTGTGTACAGGCGGTAACATCTGCTGGGGCTCCGGAGGTGCCATGTCCTCGCTCATTGCTCCTGCGGCCGTTGGTGGTGGGGAGTTGACCACCTCCATATCGCCGGCATCTTTGTCCAAATCTAGCATCACAGCATCCATTGGTGGCTCTTGTATGTCTGCAATGCTGGTGGCCAGGGCTGACGCGGAGCCGGTAGCCGAGCCCGACCCTGCCATACTGTTGTCATCAATCTTCTTGCCACGTCCGCGACCTCTGCCTCGACCACGTCCGCGAGCTCTGGTGCCGCGTCCGCGTCCGCGACCCCGCTTTACTTCTTCTGTGTCCATTTATTTCCTTCAGATCTTAGGGCTTCCAGTTTGTTGCGTTTTCTTTTTCGTTTGCCTTGTTGTACCCTTCTTAGAGATGGGTCGCTCCGTCGCGATAACAATGATGCCAATCTAGCCATTTAACGGCTAGATTTATTAATTCCTAAATAAAACTATCTTTGACGTTATTCTTATATAAGTTATATTTTTATAAGTATATTTTCTTTGTTATTTCTTTTATGTTTTTGTATATTTTTGTATTTTACTTCACTTTTGAACAACCAATGCCGACCGATATTTCGTCAAACATCGATATCAACCTAAACATCGAAAAACTTCTGAAAACATCGCTAAAAAAGTATCGATGCTCGATGCATCAGCATCTCTAGATCCAGCCATCATCCAATATGTTTACGCTGAATAAAAGTTTATTTATAATTAATTGCTGAGCTTTTCGATGGCTGCCGCCGCCCATTTGGAAGAGCAGGCAGTTCCAGCGGATCCCGCCAGCGACTGGCATCTGTGGTGTCGACTATGCGCCAATGATGACATCCAGGGCAACATGAATGTGTTTCTCAAAAACGATGGGGACGCATCTTCCGGGGATCTCTCACTGGCCACCGCCATCGGCAAGTACTTTTGGGTGAATGTACGTGTGATTTAACCATAGGAAGTTTGAAAGTCATCAGAGCTCTATATTCCTAGATATCACGAGGTGAGGACTTGCCGGAGATGATATGCTGCGAGTGCCTTACGCTTGTCACTTCGCTGGTGAACTTCTCGGAACGCATTACCCGCGTCCAAAAGCTGTTCTGCATCCTGCAGAGTGCCTCGGGTAAAGATGTGTCGCTGAATGTCCAGGAGCTGCGCTCCAAATTCGGCCTGCTTGAGGAGGCGCCAGGAACGGAGGTTCACTACGTGGATGAGAAACCCAAGTTGGGGATACAAGTGGGTTTGCTGCCAGAGGAGCCGGAGCTTCTTGAAGAACTTGAAAACCCCTTGACTCCGGAGGGAGAACATGAGGAGCAGGCCGCGGAACAAGGCGAACAGGGAGGGCCTTCAGGATCTGACAATCAGGATCCAGTCTATGAAGCCGACGATGATGCTGCACTGGTTAAACTATGCGATGAATATGACTTTCCTGAGCATAGTTCCTCCTCTAAAGAAGAAGAAGGCGGCCGCCTCACCCTCTCCCCCCACAAGCAAGAGAAAGCTGAGAAATGTGAGCTAGATTCCGATCCCGATCCCAATAAAAGCCACCAGTGCAGTAGATGCTTGCGAACATATGTCACCGCCAGGTCGCTGCACAGGCACATGCGCCAGGATCACTGGAAGGCCGAGTCAGCTGGCTCTGACCTGTTCACCTGCACGGAGTGCTCCAAGAAGTTCCGCACCCACTACCAGCTGGAGCGGCACAGTCAACGTCACCTGCCCCTGACCGTTGCCAAGCCAAAGCAGCATGCCTGCAACAGTTGCGACAAGAAGTTCGCAAGCAGCGCTTCCGCCACACAACATGCCCAGTACATGCACCTGGACGAACGGCCGAGACCAGTGATCTGTGAACAGTGCGGCGTCGGCCTCCATTCGATGAGCGCCCTAAAGGAGCACGTGTTAAAGCATACGGACTACGCCCCCTTCGAGTGTGATGTGTGCAAGAAATGCTTCAAGTCAGCCAACCGCCTGAAGCACCACAAGGAGACGCACGATCCGCACAAGTATATCTGCCCCGAGTGTGGCATGCAGCTGAACTCCCGGCCCACGTTAAATCGACACCGGTTAGTCCACACCGATCAAATGCAGCACAAGTGCGACTACTGCGGCAGGGAGTTCAAGCGAGCCAAGGCGCTAAAAAACCATCTCATCCTGCACACTGGACTAAAACCCTACTCATGCGACTTCTGTGATCGCACCTTTGCCAATGGCTCAAACTGTCGCACGCACAAGAAGAAGGCGCATCCCGAGGAGCTGGCGGCCCAGGAGGCGTCGGGTGGAGGCAAAACCTACAACAGGAATATACCGAAACTAGAGGCACTCAAGGCATTGTAAGTGCTACAGTCTAGAGTATAATATAAAGTTAGTTAGTTCTTTATTAATAATTTTCAGCACCAAAAACAAGGACAACTTGTCACCGGTAGCAACCAAACAGAGCGGCTGTTTCGCCTTCGGAAAAAAACCCAAGCCACCGGTCAAGGGGAATGACAGCAATCTCAACTTCAAAACGGATCGCAACGCTTCCCTTCAAGAGTCAGAGTCTGAGCCAGCGCCTGAGCTCTCAGCTCAACCTGATCCTTCAGAATCGGCTATATCCACGATAGACAATATATACAACCACATCATGATTGAATATCGCTAGGCCCAACTATTACTATTGCAATGACTATGGACTATCTTGTTTTTTGTAAATTTTTCTTTAAATATCATCTACATTTACTACTACTTACCAATATCTTTACTTGCATTGTTAATGTAAGGAGACAGGCAGGCCTATTTATAAACTTAATATTAATAATATATTTTAAAAACTATTGTTTTAAATATTCTATGAGCTTAGATGGTCACTCTGTTAAATAATGTCTTGACGGCTTCAAACGAGTCCCGGAGAGCTAGAGCTGCGCATGTCCACTGGAGGAGGATTGTCAATAAGCCGGAGTCGGAATTGAAGGCAAAGTCACCCCCGTTTTTAGAGTCCATTTCGCGTATAAGGGAATTTAGTTCAGTTGCCAGCGTCTGCTTTCTCGATTCCTCTCCATGGATAACTCTACCATTAAAGTTTTCCTTAAAACTAGTTACATTAAAGATGTGTAAAGTGTTGAGACAATATAAAAGTTAAACTCTGTTTAATTATGGCCACAATTGTTGAAATGAAGTTGCAAGGAGCAGCACTTAATTATGTGTGAACTGAGAAATCAAAAAAATCGATTTATCCTCCAACAAAAACAATCTGCATATAAAATATAAGAAACTGTGGAAACCTAAGTGAATCTAATGGATTGTTTAATTAAAAAACCGTGTGAGAAAGCTAATCAATAAAATAATTAAAACAAGATAATGCAAAATATAAAAAGAAACTCATTCCCGTTATAACCGAAAAATCAAATAAATATATTTGTGATCGAAAATATATTGTAAGTAATGTTCAATTAAATATCAATTCAGTTAAAAATATATACAAATAAAACAAAATAAGGCTTTAAAAATTTAAATAAGTTAAGTGACAACGGGTAGCCCTGGTTTTATCTTCTAGCGGCCACAGCTGTTGTCTGTCTTGCTCACATCCCTGGTTGTAGTTCCGGATTCCGGAATCAGTTCATTTTGAATGCAGTGTCGGTGCAAAATTTCGTTTGCTGCGCGAAATTATGATAAAATCGCTGGTTTTTCTTATTCAAAATGTGATTAAAGTGTGCGCCAACGTCTTAGATGTGTGTGTCCCGAACTGTTGAATAAATGTTTTGCAAATCGCCTCAGTTTAAAGGTGCTTTTCGGTCGTTTTTGTCGGCGTTTTTCGGTTGTTTTTTTGTTTGTTTTACGCACACAACCAGCGCGTGTGTAAGCTGCTCTGCATGTGTGTGCATGCGTGTGAATAAAAAAATCGATTCGCTTGTAAGTTTTTGTCGTTAATTACTTTGCCAGATATTAAAGTAATTCAAGAGTGGAATGTGCAGCATGTGTGTGTGGTCAGGGCAATGTTAAAATCTAGTTGTGCCCCCAGTAGTTCTTTTTTTCGTGGTGGTTGATGTCCCAACACAACGGGTTCGAAGTCTTGTGTGGGCGGACCTGAAGTGTAAACTCAAGAAACACAACATGTGAAAGACCCACAAAACTGCATAAATGTACATACATAACTCCCACTATATGCATTTTGTTGCTTCCATATATTTCCTATGTGTTAAATACTATTGGTTTAAAATCAATTCGGGAATTGGTGACTCTCTAAGATTCACCTTCATGTGCCACCAAAAATCTGTTAAAAATATTGTTAAATATTCTTCAGTATTTGTTTTAACCAGCAGATACAAATGCTGCAATAAGTGCAAGTGTCTAGATTAATTTATCTTATGAATCGATCAGATGTTTTTTTAAAATATCTCATTTAACATACATACTAAGGGCTTAAGTCGCGAAACTTATTAACGCTTGTTAAGTTTCGCCACTTAAGCCCTTAGTATGTATGTTAAATGAGATATTTTAAAAACTTGACCCAAATTGTACTCTCCTGTTGCCTTTGTTCCAAACTTGCCATCCCTTTGTGCTGCTAGTTTCCACCAAAATCAGAGTTTTTCCTCTTTTCCGATTAGTTGCCCTTCTTTTTTAATTATCATATAATACCCCACAAGTTAATTGCCGAAAAACTTATGCTTCGCTGCTGCTTTTGCCTTATCAGTGACAAGCTTTAAGAATAGCTATCCGCTTCCTGTTTTAAGTAAGGCAACATTAAAAACTTGCCCTCCAATTTTATAAGTCGCCAATTCTGTGTCATTTGGCCTGGGCAAATGTACTGTCTATAGTCTAAGAATTTCCCGTTGTTTTTTTTTTTTATATAGACATTTATATCGGCTTCTTCTTTTTCTGCGAAATTATAGCTTTATTACTGCAACAGATTATTAGCATACTGTCACTTTCCTTAGTAATGAAAATAAATTAGAAATTAAAAATTAATTTAATAGATCCCCAAATTTTGAGGATTTAAAGATAAAATTAAATACGTTTTAAGTCTATATTCATTAAAAACAAACAATCGCTTTTCGTGGTTTTTTATTTACGGTCAAGCTAGCTTTAAATTAATTTGATAGTATTTTGGGGCATCAATAATGAAAACCCTTTAGAATGTCTATGTAAAACTTTTTCGTCGAAATACCATTTTAAAATTAAAGACAATGTTTGCTTTTTGTCTAACTTGTGATTAGAATTTTGTACATTAAATTATTTTCTTAACTTATCATAACCTATGTTTTTATGGTAATCGCTTTATATATGTTCGGCATCGAATGATGTCAAATTTTTTTTTTTTTTAAATAATTTTTTGAATAAGCTCAGATGACTTCTTCTTTAGATAGTTCTTGAATAAACATCAAATATTATTCTAACTCAGTTTGTCGGCCTTTATATGCCTGTAATGATTAAGAAATGTAGGGCAAAGGAAGAATTTTTCTAATTGCATCCGTCTTCGATTCACGCTAAACTTTCTGTATTACTCATTCGATTCGCAGGAACCTGGCCCTTAGACTTTGAAACGAAAACCCAATTTCAAAAGTCTTTAAACTATCATATTTATCAAATTAATTGATTAGCGAAACTAAGAAACGGTGTCTCCGCTTATGTGTATAAATATGTTAATATGTGAATATTATTCCCAATCTTATATATACATAAATTCGTATCATAAAAATATACATATAATTGTAGTTAAAAAAGCTTGTTTATATTTTTTATAGGCCTTTTGCTGCCTTCAAATTAGAAATATTTACTTGCTGAATATATGTAGATTTCCTGAACAGATATTGAAGGGAACATTTACCTCAGATAACAAGAGGAGTAATTTTTAATGGCTTTAAATCCAAAAGCCCCAATAATTTATTGAAAATAGTTCTGATATGGCGAAATTTTTATATGAAATACTTCAGAGTTACAGTTTAAGGAATATGCATTCCATGTAGGCTCTGGTTTCTATGACTCCATGAAGTATTAATCTGAATGTCCGTCTTTGTTTTATTATTTTATTTATATTTAACTCACAAAGTTGAGCTATTGCTTTCTTTGCTTTCTTACTAATTCGATTTACAAGGTTTTTAATTTTTTGTAGAAACAAACGCGTTAAAAAATAAAATAAAAGGAAAAACATATATTTTTAAAACCTATTAAGGAAAATACCAATTATTAAGAACAAAACTTTGTTATATATTTGTTTATTACTAATATAATCTATTGAGCTGGTTAGCGACTAATATTTAAATATTTCGTTAAATTATGACAGAAAATTATTAAAACAAAATGACTAAGTAAACATTTTATATACACATGATGTTTAAATTGCTAACAATTTTTTACATCCGTTCATTTGGATCTGAGCATTATTTTACATTTAATTCTATGTTTTAGATTTACCATAAAATACAAGAGTTTCTGGCCTTCTGTAAAGCTTTTAGGCCAATCTGAGCATATTTTCTGGTTATAGCTTATACTCTTAAATTTAAGCACAGCTTTGTAAAACTTTAGTCTTGCAGTTCCAAGAGCTTTTATTACCTTTATAGCGGAAAAACTTTATAACCATACCCTTTATAGCGCTAAAATTGTATATATATTCTATAAATTAAATATAACAGTATACAAGAATTTAATTTCAAGAAAGCTGAAGTAACCTTTCTATAAAATCAAATGTGCATACTTTCTATAAATTAAGTATAACAGTATGCAAGTATTTTAAAAACTTTTATATCAAGAAAGCTAAAGGTACAATTCTATAAAATAAATATAACAGGCTTAAAGTTTCGTAAGCACTGTATTAGGCGAAAACTTTAGGTACTTTTTCTATAAAATAATATAATTGTATTACAGTACATAGCTGTAGAAGTATAAGTGTTTTGCAACTTTGTACTCAATGAGCTAAAAAGGCATTCACAAACGATGTGCCATCCACCCCTATTAGAAAGTTCGAAGTAAGGGGAAAATGAATTTTGGTTCACCCCTAGAATGTTCGAAGTAAGGGAAAAATGAATTTTCGTTCACCCCTAGATGTTTATTTGTGCTATAACCCCCACGCTGCCATAATGAATAGAATGAACATCCCCTTTCTTGCTATCGCAGGAGCAGCTTAGAGAGCTAATAAATGAGCTAAAAGTGCATTATCTCCTCTTTCAAACGCCCAGATATCTGGTTGAGCATTTCGCTTTGCAAAAATAAAAAACTAGCATGCATATAAATTGCAAGTTATTTCCCGGTGCAACTGCTGCGCTGGTTAGACATTGCATCCCCTTGACGGTCACATTTTTATTTGCCAGCTTTGCATTTTGCACCAACAGAAAAAAAAGAACCCAAAGAAATGACTAAAACAAGTAAAAAAGCAAAGCTTTTACTTTAATTAAATGCGTGCGTGTTGGGAAAATTCCAATTTAGAATTTCTCTGACTTTGTTCTATATCCCCCAGATGTTGGTTCCTTGATTAACGGCCGCCGCCTCGGCGCCTCTTTCCTTTCCTGATGCTCCTGGCTCCCCAATGATTTTTCCCTAGCATACTTTTATACTGATTGAGTGTGGCTTATCTGCATTGCCTTGTGCCCGTGCATGAGTGAGTGTACCTAAGCCCGCCTGGGCCTGACATAACTCATCTGATGGTCGTTTATGTCAATTGTAAGCAAATCAGCGCTGGGTCATTATCCATAAAAAATTGTGCCTTCCATATAAGAAAGCAGTCGCAAAACCACCGAGACGAATGTTATTATTTAAATGGGTATACATATAACATATGACGTTCTTACTCTGAGATTATGAAGTGCGTGGGTTGATTTGTAAATCAGAAATAAAAGCGCGTAATAACGTATCTTGCTAGGCCTATCAAATCGGAAGCAATTTTGGAGAGATGCTTGAAGTCAATACAAAAGTAGCTTCTGCGAGAATAAACATTACATAAGGGAAAAGTACTTGCTGCTTAGCAACTTTTGCTTTGCCATTCGGAATTTGAATAGCACCCCTCGCAGAGCCAGACGGTAAAACGCGCTTCCTTTAACCAATAAAATACCAAACTCAAAGATCTTCAAAATAACACTGGAAAATTATGCCCTTGTTTGGGGTATTGTAATTTATTTCGTGGATTGCAGCACATTTAAGAAGACAAATTTAACTCTTTGAAGTCTATATTCTTCATCAGCAACACCTGAGTCACTTTATATTTAAATTCCTTTCATTAAAACGTTAATGTTGAGTTACAAACTCCCAGGGTATACAAAATTCGAGTTCCTTTCTTGTTATTATTGTGACTGCCACTGCTGCTTCGCTTTCGAGTCTGTGCCATAAATTTGAAATATTAAAAAAGATATCGAATGGATTATTTTTAATATATTACCCACCATGTATAAGGGAGAGTGCACATTCCATCCAACGAAAACTGCAGTCTGTAGCAGGCACATTGGGGAAACCCATGGATGCCGAGCTGAAACGAATCGCAATTAGCCTGCTGCAAGTGCCTCTTCCACCAGTCCGGCTCCGTCCACATATCCTTATCCTAGCCGAGTGTTGCTACAAATTACCATCAGTAGCATCCTTTGCCAAAGTCCTACCAACACCCACATCCACTCCGCATTAACATTGCCAACTCTCGAAACAGCACAGCTGGCATTTTCCGCTGCGTAATCCTTTTATTAATCCCCTTGGCTTGTTCTAAAATCCTTTACACTGCTGTTGTCACTTTTGCAAATCATGAATAAGAAACCGCAATCTTAGGAGAAATGTTTATCGGGATTTAATTTTAATGTTAAAAAATATATTTTTAGAAATATGAATCTACAATTAATAATGTAATAATCATTGAAGAGAAGGAAAAGAAATTATAAATTAACTTTTATTTGTTTTTATGATTCGCAATTAAGAAATATTCGCTATAAGTAAAT